TATGGAAGGTAGACTGAAGCAATAATCAGCTCCCTGCTGCCTCCTCGATACGGGTATGTTATCGTTACCACTGCTGCATGCCTAGAACAGAGCTCCAGCAAAGGCAAGGCATTAACATGATTCCTGATATAAACACAAGATCTTGCATTATTACTGGGTACAGCAAGTAAACTGTTCCCCCTGTGTTTGTTATGCCCCTTATTTGACCCTTTTATAACCAAGGTTCCTGAATAGGTGCTATATCTGCCTTACCCTCAGCCAATTTTTGGCACAGAGCTGCCGTGGCAACTTTGCTGTGGTGTAGGTTGATTTGAAGAAATTTCATGATCTCTTCCAATTGGGGAGGGGTCAGTTTCCATCTTACGTCCTTCTCTGTCCTTGGATTGGGTTCCGTGTGAAGGGGTCCCCTGATCTGCTTTGCTTTGGTCATCCAGGGTCCTGGGTATCTCATCCCCTTCCTCCTCAGAGACAGAGTTAGAAGATACTGTATCTGTCGCAGGTTCTACCCAGCGGTGAACTTCAGGATCATCCAGCACCTTAACTGTCCCCTGTGAGAGTCATGTAAATATTTTGTAACCAGTCCTCTATAATAGTATGCGAGTCCTGGTCTGTGAATAAGATGAGCCTTTGGCCTTTCAACTCAGATTGCTTATCAAGTACCCTCCAGTCCTCAGTATGAAGTCCTGGATTAAGGTCTGCAATCCATTTCAGCAGCTCTTCCTGATTCTGGGCAATTTTGTCCCTAGTCCAGAGAGCCACTTTAACAGGCTTGGGCAGGTTCCTGGCATCAGTAGCCTTCATCTGGACCCTGATTCCAGCCTGTGGTTGTCAATGGCTTTGGTGAGCCACTGACCAGACTGTTGTTCGGCACATACATAAATAAGTGCACCTCCCCCACTACTCTGTAGGATTTCAGGTGTCATAATTCTCCCTTTGGAGTCCTACGTAACACCTCCCCCAATGCTTCCAGAATGCAATTTTGGTCATCTTTGGTAAGCTTATCCTCAGGATAAGTGCCCTTGAAAATAGCTACCTTTCTGTAGGTCAGAGCCTCCTTGTAAGTCCCTGGGCCTTTTCGTAGTTCTGGCCGTTTCTGTAGGGGTACTGCTCTCCGACCTTGGCCTCTTAGAGGTGCCGGTGGCGGTTTCTTCCTGCTTGGACGAGCCTGCAATTCCTGGTTGCTGACTGCTCCCAGTTCCTGCTTTGCTTGCCTCAGCTCTTACCTTTTTCAACTTCCGTCTAGCGCATCCAGACAAGGCTTTCTTCGCCAGACGGGGTCCACCTACTCCAGACACTAGGTGTCCCAGTCCTTCAGCTGCAGGTGTGTTAGAAGTACTAGCTCCCTGCAGTGGTGTGTCAGTACTATTGACCCCCAAGAGAGTAGTTTTTAGTTTTACCTCTGGCAGGTTTTGAACCACTGATTCATCCTTGCCTTTGGCTGAAATTTCAACAGCAGGTTCGCTGGTTGCAACTGGGCCCCTTAATGGTTCACCAGAGCTTCCATCCCCCTGCTGAAGCATTTCTCATAGGTATCCCCTTGGAGGGGGGTTCCTCTTCAGTTTAAGGTCTTTACGACCAGTTTTTAATTTGGTTCCTTTATTCATTTCGGTCCTACGAGTTATGGGGATTTAAAAGGTGACCACCCGCAGCGCCCCATACGGGTGGAAGGCGTAAATACGAGGCGCTGCCTGGTGCCCCGAGGGGATCGTTCAAGACACTGGCTAATTACCACCCCAGTGCCATGAGGCCGACAGCATGATGCCTCACACCTTGGCTTGGCTTAGGTGGTTAAATTTGGGTTTAATACACATACATAAAATTGCTTTTCATAGGATTCATAAATGTGCTTGTCAGCACTGAATATAAAACTTGCCAAAAACACACAATTCTTCATTAAGACAATTCAAACAAAAGATCAAAGTCAGCAAGGAATGCGGATGAGGCAAGTTATGAGTAGAGGGATCAGGGATGTCCTGTTTTGGGGAGTCCCATCTGGGGTTTTGCATCAGGAACATGAATCCAGACTCAACTTGCTATTTGTATGACAGAATGCTACGAGTCACATATGCAGCATATCCTAACATGGGAAAAAGAAATTGTACACACATGCTGGTGATTGAAAATTTGAACATGAAATTAAAAAACATATATGTATAGTGGTAAACGTTTAAAAAGAAAATGTGCAAGCATAAATAGTGATCTTTGAAAACATTATGCTCATTCATAAAACAGGCAAAATACGCATGCCTAAAATTTAAAAAATTAAGTAATTCATACATTATCCAAATGAGCTTACTTTTTGGTTCAAGAAAGAAATATGCATTTGCATTAAAATCCGGTCCCAACTAATTATATTCTGAAAGCTTTAGAAGAATGTAGTCAAACATCAGGAATTTTTTGTGACTTAACAAAAGAGTTTGATTGTTGTGATTCAAGTACCATCTGAAAAAGAGGAAACAAAGGATTGAGCTGTGCCATAATGAGAAAGGAAAAATACATTTAAATTGGGCAACTGTAAAATATGGAGTACCCCCCAGGGCTTTATTCTGTGTCCTTTGTTGTGACTTAACATTGGAATAAACACTGACTTGAATTTAATGTTACACACAGATGACACAAGTGTACCAATATTAGGCAGTAACATGCCGGAAACTCAAGCAAAACCCAGGATTGTTTTGAATACCTTAAATTATTAGTTTACCAGTAATGGTCTGTCCATAAACTCGAAGAAAACTAAACTTTTAAAATTTGAAACCACTTATCAAAATAACACACCATTTCAATTAAGCTACAAAGATGAATTGTTGCAAGATGAAACAAATATTAGATTTCTGGGCTAAAAATGGATAAGTTCATGAATTTGTAACTTACATACTCATGGAGCTGAGCCCTTCTTGAGGAGCTGCCAATTCTGCAGCTACTCAAGAATATCCCAGCATTTTATGGAACCCAAAGGTTCATCACCATGTTCAGAAGAGCCCTCCACTGGTCCCTATCCTGAGCCAGATCAATCCAATCCATCCTATCACTCTTAAGATCCATTTTAATATTGTTCACCCACCTATGCCTTGGTCTTCCCAGTGGTCTCTTTCCTTCTGGCTTTCTCACCAGTATCCTATATATTTTCTTTGCCTCCCCCATTCGTTCTACATGCCCTGCCCACCTCGTCCTCGTTGACTTGATCATTCTAATTTTACTTGGAGAAGAGTACAAGTTATGAAGCTCCTCATTATGCAGTTTTCTCCAACCTCCTGTCACTTCATTTCTCTTCGGTCCAAATGTTTTCAAACACCCTCAGTCTATGTTCCTCCCTTAATGTCAGAGACCGAGTTTCAACCCCATACAGAACCAAAGGCAAAATTATAGTTTTGTATATTTTAATTTTTGTTTTTGGGTGGCAGATGAAAAGACAGCAGGTTCTGGACTGAATGGTAGCAAGGAATACCCGAGTTCAATCTCTTAATTTCCTCGTCAATCAGGTTTTGATTTGTTATCGCCATTCCCAAATATCTGAATTTTGCCACATTTTCAAAACATCTATTTTCTATCATTATATCATGATTTTGCCCTGCATTTTGATGACTAAACAGCAAGATATAGTTAGTTCTCTGTTTATTTCTAGACCAACCTCCTTACATGCTTCAATTAAAGTTTTCTGTTTTTTATTATGGTATCTATATTATCATCCAGTAGATTCACAGCATCGGCATAGACCAACAGCTGATGTGTCCTGTTTAATTTCAGTCCCACCCAGTTTTCCTGGGCCTTACTAATGGCGTATTCTAAAGCAAAGTTGAAAAGGAGTATCTTTACCCTCTTACTTACTCATGGAGCTGAGCCCTGCTGAAGGAGCCGCCAATTCTGCAGCTACTCAAGAATTTCCCAGCATTTTATGGAACCCGAAGGTTCATTAGTGTGTTCACAAGAGCCCTCCACTGGTCCCTATCCTGAGCCAGATCAATCCAATCAATATCATCTCTTTACCCTCTACCTCATTTAATTTCTTGGGATTGAACCTCTCCATATGAACTCTGTGCGTTGTTTATTTGTGGTCTTCCGGTATGTTAAATTTGTGTAGCAGTTTAATAGTTTCATTTTTATCATAGTTTTTTTTTAATTTCTCAGTTATAGTTTGAAATGATTATTAAATGCATGTACTATTTCATTAGGATTATTTATTTTGCTCTTTTCCAATTGAATTTGTTTTATGTTATCCATTCCTTGATTTTTAGCTGTTTCTTTTTAATTATCTTCCAGGTTTCTTGTATTTTGTTTTCTGATTTACTTGTCAGTTTATAATGTAGTTTCTTCACTTCTTTTATTACTTTTCCACTATAGTGGAGTATTTCTTACAGTATGATTTCAGCCCATCATCACCTGATTTTGTAACTATACTATAAAAGTTCTTTTATGTTTACATAATATTCGTATACCCTTTGTTATCCATTTATTGTTACATTTTCCTTCTTGTAATATATTAGTGGAAAGGTATTTTCAAATTTTAATAAGAAAATATTAAGAAAGATATTAAGAGTACTATTAACATTTTCTTAGTTATAAACTTGTTCCCAGTTTTCGTTTTGTAGTGCAGGTTGAAAACTTGTAACTTTTTCCTCATTAATCTCTCTAAATGCATATAAAGTTCTTCCCATAGGTGCTTGACATTTTCTTTCTTGGCCTCTTTGTGGTTGTGGTTCCAGAAAAATTTCTTGTTCAACAGACAAGTAGTCTCTCTCCTACAGATGAGTGATTTCTTGGTTGATCTCTTCACATTCATTGGGATTTCTGATCTTGTAGCCATTAAATCTGAGTCATTTACAGTTTCCCTCACATCTGCCTTTATGATAAACTTAGACTGCATAATTTTCACTTTACTTGTGCACAGTACAGGATCTGGTCATTGTGCTAAGAAATCAACTGAACACAAAATTTATTTTTCATGAGACATTCATAAATGTTAAAGGGTTGTGATATGTAATTATATGTGCTTCTTGTTTCAGAATATCAAGAAAGAAAAGAAAAAAGGAAAAGATTAAGATTAAGCAGGTGATGGAACAGGGCACTGGGGCTGACAGTGTGAGGACCATTTTACTAACTGTCATCTGTGAACTGATTTCAGACTGTTACATTTCTCTTACAAGCTGTAATGCAGTGTGGTTTGGAGCTTGTAAGTGACTGTAAAGTAGGCCAGTTGAGTGTTTGTTTACCTATGGTACATAAAACCTCAGTGACACTTCTCCATATAATAAAGTCCAAACGTTTCGGTCACCAGATTTTGCGAAACAAATATCTTTATGTTGATAGATGCTTCATGATGAGTTTCTTTGCAGTATATACGTTAAGCACAATTTTAAATTTAGCCATTTTTTCATTATGTATATAAATTTAATAATCAACAATAAACTGATCTTTATAATGAATACAGCTTTTCTCTTCACTTATCCTGATCTTCACTTTTATACCTTTATCTTCTGGATTCCTGTAATTCTCAGGAAGAAGCTGCTCATAGCCATGATCACGTCAGTCGGATAGTCATCAGTCTGCCTGTCCAAGGTATAAATGACTCATCATAACCAGGTGTGCACACGTGTGTTCGTATGTGTGGGTAGGTATATTGTGACGTGTGCTCAAAGCCAGATTTGTGGAACCAGAAGAGATGGCTTTGCTAGAGAACGGCTGGTAAACATGTTTTTGTGGCAATGAATACATAACCACAACAATAAGGGAACTGTTATAAGCAGTGTTCTCTGTGTGGGCCGCGCTGAGGCTATATAAGGAGGCCAACTGGACAAGTTGTAAGCTTGACCATCATCAAGTTTAAGCCTCATATATTTTGTATGTCTGGCTTTGCCTTGTCCTGTGCTGCGAACATGGTAATTCTTATGATTTTGTATGTCTGCTTGCTGCCTTTGGTCAGTCGGTTAAATTGCTGTTGGACTTCGCCAGTACAGACATTCCCGGCTTTATTCTTCTCTAGATCCATGACCAAGATTTTTGTTTTTTCCGAGACGTACAAGTTTCTAGATGGGGCCACCTCCTCAGCGAGAGAGGCCTATGTTCATTGCACCATAGTTTCAGCATGAGTATATCTACACTGTCATGGCATTCAGGTCACTAGGGACTCTGTGCACCCTCTGTCACTGCACTATACTAAGTAACATTTATACAAGGTATACAGATATTTTCTGTCAATGCAGGTTATGCCTTCTGCACAAGCCTACAAACAAACAAAAAAAAAAAAAAAACAAACAAACTAACTGCGTTGCTGTCGTCTGCAAGTGAACTATACTGTAACGTGTTGGGTTACTGAAGACGCTGTAGAGATTGTTAATTGGTTTATTCAACAACCTACAAGTAACGGCTACAATTAATTATAACAATATTGTGGGGTATCACAATTTATAACCCTATTCGCAAATCTCTTCACACTATCTTCAAGAGTCTTCGCGTATTAAAAGTCATTAAAGAAGCCAAACAGAATAACTATAACAGCCAAATTCTAAAATCAAACAATAAAATTAAAACCACCTGGGATATTGTGAAAGTTGAATCAGGAAAGAAATCTGTTAATGAAGACGTACAAAGTTTGAATATTGAAGGGAAGTCCACTAACAATCCACAAGCTATCGCAAGCGCATTTAATGAATATTTCCTTTCATTAGCTGAGGAAACATATTCAATTCAATTCAATTCAATTCAATGCTTTATTTATTTACGTGCCGAACTCAACAGCGGAGGCCAATTACAGAGTCAGCACGGAAAATATAAAACAACAAACAACAGACAATAATAAAAATCAAGACAATACACACATAGATAATAACAGGTCAAAAATGTTAAGTATTTGGAAAATTAAAAACAATTAACAGCAAAAAACTAATTGCATACTTAGCTCAAAAGCCAGTGACAAGTTAAAAAGACAGTGCAAATAGTAAAAAACAACCAAAAGTACAAAAATTATCAAACTAAACAATTCAAACTTAAACTAGATTTACTAAAAATGTCTACATGTTCGCAAACAAAATTTGCAGCAACAACACATCTAGCTGTGGGACAGCGACTGAAAGAACAGCTAAATGTAGAAAAATTTCGAATGTTCCGAGAAGGAACCCGCAAACCGACCGCATCAAGGACAGAGGAGCAATATGTTGTGCCTCTAAAAACATTTATTAAAAACAAAGCATCAATATGACGCCGTCTGACATCCAAGGTTTGCAGATTTAGTTTATCCAAAATACTAAAATAATGATAATCTATATCTTTAAAAAATCTATTATGACAGAGAGCTGCAAATTTTCTTTGTATACGCTCAAGTTTGTTGGAGTCAGTATTCGTTATCGAATTCCAAACAACAGAAGCGTACTCCAGTTTGGATCTGATTAAAGCAGTATACAGCATCAAAAGACTGTCTAAGGTAGAGAAGGAAAACGTAATGGTGCGAATTAATCCTAGTAATTTCATAGTTTGTGAAAATAAAATATCTACATGTTGATGAAAGTGAAGCTTTGAATCGATAAGTACTCCAAGATCCTTAATACTATCAGTTCGCAAAATAAAAAAATTTC